AACAGAATATGGCATGACATTAATGGAAGCACCTAAATCTAGCATGACATGTTCAAACCTTGTATTACCAATTACGCAAGGGATAGTAAAAGTACCTGGATCTTTACATTTAGGTGGTAGCTTTCTTTTCAACATTGCAGAGACATTCTCACTTACATGTACCACCTCTTTCTCCCGAATCCGTTTCCTTGTTGTACAAAGCTTCTTAAAAAACTTGGCATACTTCATGATTTGCTTTATAGCATCTAGGAGCGGGATATTGACGTGCACCTTCCTAAACGTCTCCAGAATGTCTTTTTCATCCTCTTCATTCTTGGCTTGCATAAATCTGCGAGGGAAATGTGCATTGGGTGGAATAGGGTTAGAATGAGTCAAATTTGGACCTTTCTTACCTGTGGTGGACAGATTGGATAGATTAGGAAGTGTAGGAGGCTACGGCAAGGGTTGTGCATTCCTTGCCGTGGCGTGGTCATGGTTCTCCTCTTCGAACTGCAACTTCTCGTCCTCCGTTTGGGCAGATTTTGATGGTTGGGGGTCCGTTCCAACTTCTTTTCCACTTCTCAATGTAATGACCTTGGTAGATTCAAATCCTCGCCCTGGATTCACAACGGTTGTGCTAGGCAGTTTGCCTTGCTCTTTGCATTACCCCATGAACTCCGCCATTTGGCCCTTGTTTCTTCAACTCATCCACCTCCTTAACTTGATTGAGCATTGTTTTGTTTTGATTTTGCTGCCCCTGCACCAAAGAAGTTAGTAATTGAACAATTTGATCATTATCCATGGATGTACCTGAATTGGTTTGGGCAGATTGTGGTTGGACTTGAGTGAGTGCGTATAACCTTTGATACATCCCAATGGGTTGTGGCTGAAATCCTCCTTGTTGGGCAGTTTGTTGTGGTTTTCTCCACTTGAAATTTGGATGATCTTTCCATCTTGGATTGTATGTATTAGAGAAAATATCACTCATTGGTTGGTATTGGCTCCCAAAGCCCACGGCATTGGTAGATTCCCACACTACATTCTCGATCAATTGAGGGCACTTATCCGTGAGATGTCCTTGCATTGAGCACACGCCACAAGCAGCTACACTTTGTACCTTTGGTCCTTCAACCACCTGTGAAAGAAGAGTAGTAAGATTAGCCAATTGATTTTGAAGTTCGGAAATAGCACTTACCTCATTCACTTGTTGTCGTGGGGTGGCTCTTTGCCCAACAACTTCATATTGTTATGCATTCAACGCTCGGTTTGCAATTAAGATCTTGGCAGCCACCGGTGTTTTATCTTCCAAAGCACCACCTGCTGAGGCATCTAACATTTGTCTTTCAATTAGGAGGAGTCCCTCGTAAAAGTATTGAAGTAAAAGCTCCTCCTTCATTTGATGTTGAGGGCAAGATGCAACTAGACCTTTAAAACGGCTCATAATACATCGGGGAAGATTCACCTTGGCTTTGTTGAATGCCATTGATTCTTTTCCTTAAAAGAATGACTCTCGAGGTTGGGAAAAACTTTTCTAAGAATGCTTGTTTCATGCTTTCCCAAGAGGTGACAGTTCCGGGTGCCAATTCGTATAACCAATTTTTAGCCTTATCCATAAGAAAGAATGAAAAGGCCTTCATATTCAGAATGCTCCCATTGACATTGATTGGTGTCATACTCGAGCACACCACTTCAAACTCCTTCAATTGCTTGTTTGGATCTTCCATGGACAACCCATGATATTTAGGGATATGGTGTAGCAAGCTTGACTTCAACTCGAACTCATCGGTCTTTCCTTAGGTAGCCACGGGGTATTGAATGCAAAGTGGCACGGTATTGTCCAACCCCGAGGCTGAGAGTTCTTTGATTGTACGATTGTCTGCTGCCATGACTTGTTGATCTTCTTCTTTTTCAAATTCAGAACTTAAACTAGGTGGGTTAAATTCTAATTGCTTCTTCTTCCTTCTCAAAGTTCTTTCAAAATCGTCGTCGAACTCCAAGATGTTTGCACTAATAGGTTGAGAGCTACGAATAATAAACTAGTACCTGAAACGAAGAAACAAACACAATCAGCAACTAGATATAAGGCACAACAAGAACACACAAACACATGGACACAAAATAAAACACAAAGACATAAAATTAAACTAGGGATTAGCAAGTTTGCTAATCCCCGGCAACGGCGCCAAAATTTGATGCGAAAATTAACTTAACACACAAATTAAACCCTCTCTGTTGACAATTGTAGTATGGATAAATAGGGATCGTTCTGGACTGGAGATTATGAGGGATTGCTAATCTATTCTAAACTGACTTAAAAACACAAAAATAAACTTAAAAACACTTAACAAGACTCACAAGACTCAAAACAAACTTAAAATACTCAAAACAACTTAAAACAACCAAATAGACTTAAACTAGACACTAGGAAGTGATTTGGACGAAAATTGATTTTAACTTGACTCAAAACACTTAAAAACACAAACTAAGACAGATTCTAACTAATTTGAACTCTAAAGTAAAGGGGATTGGGTTTTGGACGAATTTTAAGTAAAAATAAGTAACTAAAACTTAAAACAGATTTTGGACGAATTTTAAGAAATAAGATGGTTGATGCATTAGCTAGAGGTCCATTCTTCACACATGACACATTTGTACATGAATCGATTTCCTATTGTTTTTCAATAAATTATGAAGCTCAACACCCCAGATTAACTGTGATACACTAATTAACCCTCAGATTTTCTTTTACTCATTGAATTGGATGAATGCATACGACAACCCAAATCATTCTCCAAAGGTCCCCTACATGAATGCATAATAGAGATACAATAAGAGATCACTACGTTCCGTGAAAATCATAAGTGTTGACGAGACATTTGTAACTATGAATGCATGATACGTTTGGCAAGAATTCAATTAACGCGATTGTGACTAGCAACCTTCACTACTCATGAATATAAATTTATAACGATTAGGTGAAACTTATTTATATTCTAGCATCAAATTCATGCATGAAAACTAAGTATGCATCCTTAATCAACATACAAGAATCAGTTTTGAAGAAAACAGTTAATTGAATTGCATTCACAACTTATCAAATCATAATTGGAAGAAATCAATTCATATTGCAAATATGATCATGGTTTCAAATTTCCCCTAGCTAAGAGGGGTTTAGCTCCTCATGTTCACAAAACAAAGATACATAAATTTAGACATTGAAAACAAAGATTGAAACACCTAAGAATGATCCAGCAATCCAAACTTGAATAGCAAGCACTCCAAGGGTCCTCCTTCTTCTCTTTGTTGCGGCACAAGCTATGGGTGAAGGTTTGAGTGGTGTTTTGTATGGGAGAATGGCTGAAAGTATGTATGGTGGTGAGTGGATGAATGATGGCTGCGGCAAAGGATGGTTTGATGTGTTTTTGATTGTGTGAATGGTGGATGGTATAATGAATAATTGATTACTTTTCCTAATGAAATGCACGGCTATTTATAGGGAGATGATGGATTAGGTGAGTTAGGTGAGTGCACATTCCATTCAATTTAGGTAGGTTAGGTGAGTGCACCAACAACTCAAATTCTGGTAGGTTAAATTAGTGCACCAACAACTCAAATTCTGGTAGGTTAAATGAGTGTACCAACCATTCTTGCAACTTGCACTCCAAATTTGTAGCATGTTTCTAGCCTCATTTAAGCACCAAAAATGTCCATCCAACTTGCTCCCCATGCATGTATGCCAATTCAATCCAAAACTGCACCAAAATGCTCTTTCGTGCCACTTTAGCCCTTTAAACCTACAAACACACGAAAATGGCTTGAAATACTAAATTAACTAAGAAATAACAACATAAATGCACAAGAATAAGCTAACTAAGTCGCATAAATATGCTCCTATCACAATCCACTCGACAAACCATGCAACTTCTCCAATATATGCTTCTGGGTATCATTGGAGGTAATGTATAGATACTCCACATTTTCTGCACTTTTCATTTCAATGTGGTATCCATTTAAACGTATGTCTTTGAAACTCAACAAGTTTCGAGTAGATCGAGTAGCGTACAACGTATTTTGTATGGACAATATAGTTCCATTTGGTAAAAATATCTGGGCTTTCCCTGAGCCTTCAATTACATCTGATTTGCCTGATATTGTTGTTACCTTATTCTTGTAAGCATCAAGCTTAAGAAATACTTTTGATCACGAAGTATTGTATGCGTAGTTGCACAGTCTGGAAGAAAAATGTCTCCGCCATTTCTCATGTTTTGAGAATGACCATAGTTTTTATCCATGCTTTATGAGTAAGGAAATCAGAGTTAAAAGCAAGTTATAACAAGAAATTTACATGCCACTTTTATTGAATCTGAAATGCTAGTTTTACACTACAAGTTCAGCATAATAAAAGTATATCAAACATAAACGATTCAGTCGGACCGGTATACTTCATTCCCCATTTCCATAATGAAGTTTGAAACATCTAGGTGAGTTGTGTTCAACTGTCTTGATAAGTCACACACTTGATTAGGTATATCCATTGGTTTAGCCTGGTCGAGAAAATTAGTCTCGGCACCCTTCTCTTCGAGGGAGGCTTGATACAGATCCACCAGATGTTTTGGGGTACGACAAGTACGCGCCCAATGCCCATTGCCACCACACCTATGGCAGGCTCCTTTAGAGTTCCTGGGAGCATTGTTCATGTGAGCTTTGCCTTTGTGGCGATTCACATTTTTAAAGCTCGGGCCTGAATTATGCCTTGGAACCTGGTTGTGAAACTGACCACCATGATTCTTGCCTTTCCTATTTCATCGACCTCGCTTGTGGCCACGTCCTCGTTTATGATTATCACCACTAGAGGATGTGGCGTTCACTTCGAGGGAAGCAGCATTCACTTCTGGGAATGGTGCAGATCCAGTAGGTCGGGAATGATGATTTTTCATCAGGAGCTCATTGTTCTGTTCAGTTACCAGAAGCACAGATATCAGTTGGTTGTATTTAGTGAAGCCTCGTGCTCTATACTGCTGCTATAGGAGCACGTTAAAGGCATAAAATGTGCTGAAAGTCTTTTCCAGCAAATTTTCCTCAGTAATAGTATCCCCACAGAGCTTTAGCTGAGAGGTAATTCTGAACAACGCATAATTGTACTCTGCCACTGACTTGAAATCTTGGATCCTTAGGTGAGTCCATTTATAGTGAGCTCTTGGAAAAATCACCATTGTCTGGTGGTTGTATCTGATTCTCAATGCATTCCAAAGAGTTAACGAATCTTCAACCGTTAAGTACTCGCTTTTTAATGCCTCATTAAGATGGCGACGAATAAAAATCATAGCCTTCGCCCGCTCTTGAGAGGATGAGCTGCTCTCTTCCCTAATGGTATCTCCAAGATTCCCTGTTTCCAGATGAATCTTGGTATCCAGTACCCATGTAAGGTAATTATTCCCGGTAATGTCCAGGGCAGCATAATTAAGCTTCGCCAAGTTCGCCATTTTCTTTTCTAAAAGAAAATGAGATGTGTAAGAACTTGCAATAATATGTATTCCTGGAGGAATATAGTGTTAGAACTTTTGATTTTTACAAATTTTTCATTTTGATCTTCATGCCAAAATGATAAGCACTCGAAACTTCTAGCTCGAGATTTTCAAGGTGAATGAGAAGGGCGATTGTACCGCACCATTCTCATTGAAATAATGTAACATAGAATGGGCGATTATTCCGCACCACTCAAGTAGCAGGAAAATTTAAATAAGCACAGCAGTGTGGGCGATTATACTGCACCACCTAAAATTGTAATGAAATTCAACTGCAGGCAAATTAAATATACAGGGTAGGGCGAGCGATTGTACCGCTCCACCTAAAATTTGCAGTAAAATTAAATCCGTAGTCCAAGATAGGCCATGATACTGCACAATCTTGGATCGCAGTAAGATTAAATTTGCAGTTCAAGATGGGCGATTGTACCGCACCGTCTTGGATTGCAGTAAAATCAGCATAAATAAATACTGGGTTAGTAATCAATATCTATACCAAACAAGAAATCAAAGATGTATGTAACCGTTAGGTTGAGAACTAAAAGCAGGCATGGAGCAAACAGTTCTTCGTGAGGGTATATCGCGCAATTGAGGCAGAAGAAGAAGATGAACAGTAAAAACCTTAGAGGAAACATTTTTTCTTTCGTTCGGCGAAGATAAATGATTTTCATTCGGCGAAGAGAAATGAGGAATAGTTATATTTAGATACTCGTGCTGATAACGTGTTATAAATATGTAGAAGTTAGAGGGCTAACCTTTTTAGTGAATGTAGCGAAGCAGGTGTAAAATGTCACACTAAAACTATAGCACAAGAGGATAACAAATAAAGGACGGAGGAATAGATGATGTTATTGATCTTTCTTTCTTTCCTTCTGTATGTCTCTCTATATCTTTTAACCGTAGTCGGAGCGCTGTATTTATAGAGCGGCTCCATACAAACAAGTTCATACAGTTTGAAAAATTTACATCGCATGTTTTGAAAAATGACATCCTTCATTTCCAAAATCTATTCTAATTTTCATGGGCATTGAACACTTTACCAAATACACTATGGGCATTCATTACCCACCAGTATTTTCAACAAACGAAACGTTATATAACAATATACGCGTATCACATAAGTCTTTTTATGTCAAACAATAACTCCAAGAGCAGGTGGGTTCCGTTTCTCACCACAATTAGGGTTGACCATTTGGCAAGAAACAGTGAAACACTTGTCCACAAGAAAGGACACATGGGCACATGCACTTGCAACTTGGCAACAACAATTTTTAGCATGAATGGACAATGGGGTCCGAGATCGAAGACCATTCTGATTGTGAGATTGATTTTGATTTGTGAGATGTGAAGGCTTCTCAACAAGTTTCAAAGACGATACGGATTATGGACCGACAATCTAGGCATTGATTATTATTATTACTATTTTAGCAAACGATATCATTTATCGAAAGGAGTGGAGGAGTGGGTCAAGTCTCAGAAATAGACTAGTAATAATGTGATTCAAAGAATCAAATCTAAGACCTACTATTAGACCGTAGTACTAAGTGACAGTAATGTTCGCCTCCATATTTCTTTATTTAAGTTTTAGTTTAACCGTCAAGTGATGGTAATGTTCGCCACCATATTTATAACCATTGTATGAGTTTAAATTTCGAGATATATGTAATGGGTGGACATAAATCTCAAAATTTAAATTTATCTAATAATAATAAGTAGAGTAATGACTATTATAACCACTGAAGAGTGATGAACAAAAATACACCCTTATAAACACAATTAACCTGGCTTGTTCTATCTAAAGAATACTTATTTCACAAAAAAATATAGAATCTAAAGTATAGTTTATTAACATTGGCATGATATCATATTTTTTTAGTTCTTAGTGTAAAGTATTAAAATAGGCTTTACTAGGATATCTGTGCATTTTCGCATGAAAAACTAGACGACAAAATTATTCACTTGTATAATTTGTTACTTACACCAACACGTTTCGATCCATGACTTGTATTACTTAGTTGGCAAAATTGTAGTATACTCCAAGTGTGTGATTTTTTTAGGTAGATATGTTCGCAATTGCCACTTAGACTTTTTATTTTGATAATGTACTACCTAAACTTCGTGTGCAAATCTATCACCTAGCTCAGTTACCATTCATATTGTCGTTAAATTAAGTCATGTGCCAAGAACATCAACTAATATGAGAACAATTTAGTAAATTTGATCTATATTGATTAGAAGAAAAGTAAAGTATAAAACTTACTGAATTCAAGAACAAATTAAGAAACTAAATCCCCACACCAACTCCCCAACTCCCAGAGTCTCCCTCCACAATTCGTTCACCACCGTGGAATTACCCATGGACGGAGCCAATGAAGGCTTACTGGGGGCAGATGCCCACTCAAGTAATTCGTTTGTTTAGTTGTAGACTACAATTATATAATATACACGGGTTATCTTTGAAAAAAATATATGTATTTAATATCCAACATACATTCATTCTACTTATACTCCATATCAAATATTATATGAGTAATAGTGCTCTTGTTTGTCATTCAAACTGAAAAAACTCTCTCTCATCTATCTTGTACTTATATTTTTCTCATCACTTTGTAATTTTCCACTACTATATTGAAATTTTTGTAACATTGGAATTGTGATACATTATCATTTGAAACCATCCTTAATATCATATTGCGTATAACCATATTAAAATAAGGTTTTCTTAGTTGTTTTCAATTACCCCCATTAAAAGAAATTTCTAGCTTCATGGAATTACCTATGGGCGATCAAAATTGAAAGTTGAAAGGAGAGTGCTAGCAACATTTATACTAACCTTTGCATTTAGATCTTTCACTCCTTCAAAGACACGTGTCATTTTCACAAATATAACAATACCCAACCTTACCTGCCCCTCCCAACCCCGTCCTCTCTCTCACCAAAATAATGGCAGCTACAGGCAAGTGTCTTTTGAAGGAATAAAAAGATCCACATAAATGTTAGTGCAAATGTTGCTAACACTTCATGTTTAAATCATTGTAGATTTTTTATTAGTTTTTGGATTTTCTAATACAAGGATAATTTTATAGCAAATTTTTGTAGTTTGGGTCCCCAAAGAAAATTGTAGGTTGCTCCTAAAATTATTTAACAAAAAATTGGATGGAGGTTGTAGATTTGCATCAAATGTGAGATTTGGGTGGTAATTGCATACACACCTATTAGTTTATGTGGTATTTGTACAAAATCTCATTTTTTTAATCATAAGTCATTCACAAAATTAATTAAAATACAATTACATCTGTATATTTATGTGCTATATATTCGCACTCATAGTAAAGATTTTATTAGTTTTCTAGCACCACATTTTCCAACAAGTTTTACAATACTTGCGTAACTAGCATTGGTACTTACAGGATTTCAATATTTATAATGATTTAAGAGTTAATATTACCATATATAAAGATGACTTTAGCGGTAATTTAATCAGGCCGCTAACGAGCAAAAAAAGACCTCTTACAGATAAGCTAAGCGCCTTTATAACATAATAAAATGCGTTATAATCAAGTTTCTTGTTTATTGCTTTAGAAAGATTACAGGTAAATCTTAGCTCATTCCTTCAATTAACTCCATCATATCTAGTAAATTCCACTAACAAACAAATCAACAAGAATTGGAAGTATTATGTATTATATTATATTATTGGAAGTTTTAACGAAAATTCTAAGTTACTGTTTACTTTAACGAAAAATCATTTTTTACACTAAAAAGTCAAACCTGATACTATTCACTTTACCCTTTATTTTGTCCTTATCATTAAAACTCAAAATTTTCAGACCATATTCATTAATTTTCCTTATATTATTAGTGTCGGGAATCACGTAATGCTCACAAAAAGTTTGGGGTGATCAATTCAGTGCATCATAATTGAGTTTGAATTGATAGATATGGACTGATGAAAAGAAAAGAAAAGAAATTGATAGATTTGAATTAAAATTGAATTATGAGTTCGAGGTACACAGATTCGAGACCCTATTGACATATGGAATTATATTACTTTCAATCCGTGACTAATATGATTACAAATCGACAAATTGGTCTAACAAAACAACAACGTTATTATTCTTTCAAGTATGAAATAACAAGCTTTTTATTTTTTTTATTTATTTTTGTTTTGTTTTTAACAAACGATATTATTTACATTAAGTGGACGAGAGAATGAACTAAACCTCATAATGAGCAAGCAATAATATGGTTCAAATTTGGTTTTGGAGAGAATCGAATCTAAAACCTCTCATTTACAAATGAAGATAAATATCACTATACCGTAATATTAAATAACATGAATTATCTCTAACCCCAAATGTTAGAAACTTTGTTGCTAAACTTACTAGATTTACCAACAAAAAGGAAAATGATGAGAGGAAGTTGCATGTCACAATCTGATCGAAATTGCCGTATAACGAAGGTGACACAACACCTAAGAGTGGACTCAGCATTTAAAGTAAAATATTGTTGTATAAAAAGATTTGAACGATGTACATTCGACGAGGGCTTTCGACTAGTCATATCGATCATTATTGAGGGTTGTGCTAAAAGATAGTTCACTATCCTCCCTTTGACAATTATTCATTCATTAATCCAACTAACAATTTGAAAAGGACTCTTGCTCCCACACTAAGTTTAGTTTTAGACCATTGAATTCCCATTCCCTTAATCCACAATTTATAAATGTTTTTAATTTATAAAATTTGTGGAGGTCAAGTGCCTCTCCAAGCAGCATATCCAGGTGCTTGAACGGAAACACACTTTGTTTTAAGTAAAAATTTCAACGTGCTTATATCGGAAACATTTTTGGCAAAAAATAAATTAGAGAGAAATATTTATCGGTACATGCACACATAACATTTTTTTGTTTTTAGTACGTGTTTTGAATATATATATATATAAAATATGTAGAAAGA